TCCACCATGCAAATGCGCCATGGTGCACTTGCAGCCATTCGCCTTCACTCGGGGTTTATTCAATTCTCTGCTGTGTCTATAGTCGGATGTCGCGGCTCTCGCGATGTGTCTCCACGATGTGCTGGACGGGGACGATGAACGGGTGGATGCTGTGCGTCGTCAATTCGAAGAAGTTCTCGGCGTCTACTCCGTTGGTGAAGCATGGGAACTGTTCCGAGGTGAGAGATTTAGATTGTTGATCACAGAGAGAAAAGCGCGAGTCCGTGCTAGAGACGTGGGGCGGCGATGTCCCCGTGCCGTGCCGAGAACAACCGGAAACTTTGCGAACGGTGTTTTGAAAGACAATGTGCCCTTCATTGCAGAGGATTTCCAGCTCTCCCCGCTTCGCGCCGCCATGGCACTGAGAGGGAATGTACCGGGCCTTACCGTCTCGGACGCGAAATCCCTCTTGTTCAAGATCAAAACGGCATCGGAGGGGGCCGTGGAGGATCAGGGACACAGGGACGCGGAGACTGGCACCGTCGAGGACGCGGCGGAACTGTGGTCCCGATGAGTGCACCAGCCGGCATCACCGAAGCAGAGGATGTGCCACCCCGCGTCAAGTCGCGTGGTGCTACTGGTAAGTGGCGACGTGAGATGTGTGGTAGGGAAGAGTGGGCAACCTAGAAAGGAGGAACCCACCTCACCCCACCCACCCAATTGCATAATGTTATACATACCGACGTCTATGAAACATCATACCATATGACAACAGATATGCCCCCCTTGTTTTACAACCCTGTACAGGCGAGTTCAAAACAAACTGGTCAGAGCTTGGCGGTATAGACCCATATGCATGCTGCATCAGCGGCGGCATCAGGGGGTGGTTCATCGGTGCTAAGACTGGCAACATCGAGAATATTATCAACCACGTCAAAACACGCCAGCACATGATGGCGTGCAAGCAAGAGACACAGCGGCTCACCCAGCAGGGTGGCCTTGTCGCGCGGCCCATGCCACCACCTGGCGTGCGAGACGTCAGCTGTGCCTGGCCACCTGACATGCGCATGCATCTATATGGCATGTCGGACGAGGCGGCAGAGGAGGAGTATCAGCGCCTCTACAGCCAGTTTCAGCACAGGCGCACACGTCGGCGAGAGCAGCAGCCCAATGCCGTAGACAGTGGGCGCCGCATCTTACCGCGCACTTCACCCACTCCTGCACCTGGAGCGCGCACCGTTGGTCCCAACATGGATCCGGAGGCACAGCGCATCGTCAGCCCCGACGTGGCGACATGGATATCAGCGATAGCGAGTCTGGTGAGGGAGTCCATATGGTTCGAAGCGGAGGGGGTGGGAATGTGCGCCTGTTTCTCTCCAGTGAGAGTCCGGAGTGGTTCACCCCACTGAGTATCATAAAGCTGGTGCGCGAGGTGTTCACTCCTGGCAGGATCGACCTGGACCCATGCTCGTCCGCGGCTGCTAACACACGTGTTGGGGCGACAGTGTATTACGATATGGAATCCGATGGTCTGTTGGAGTGCAACGCGTGGATGGGCAATGTGTTTGTCAACCCGCCTTTTGGGGTGCAGGGTGGTGCAAGCTATCAGAGCCTGTTTTTCCAGAGATGCGCAACAGAGTACACGGCTGGTCACATTCACCAAGCAGTACTGCTGCTGAAAGCCGCTGTGGGTTATGCGTGGTTTGATGCCATACTACAATGGCCTGTCTGTTTTCTGCGCCAACGTTTGGCGGGTAGCCAATCCACACGGAAGTGTCGTGGTTTACATGGGCCCAGACGTGCAACGTTTTGTGTCAGTGTTTGGTTGTATGGGCGGAGTACCGGGGGCGACTTCATGGGCCATGCCCCGCCCAACGGAGAGCTCGATGGATTAAGGCATAGATTGCATATGGCGAACATATTCTTCTCGGCAGACATCTGCATTTTCATTTGTTTTCAATGTAGCTCGTGGTACTGAGTTTAGCGGTTTATCAGAGATTTGTCATTGTTTCCACCCGAACCTATTCATGCATACGAGTGTTGTGGGATAAACTGGACGGACTGTCGATAAAGTGTGGTGGGAAAACAGTGGGACCTCGGCAGCTGACTTGACTGGGTAATGCAGTCGTGGCCCTGAGTGCTTGCCTCCGGTAGTAGTAGTAGTGCCAGAGTACGGTAACCAGGTGTGCAAGGTTTTCCACTCCATGTCGTGGGATCGAATCTAATACACACATGAGGCACTTGTAAGCGGTCCTCTTGCAAAGTTTTTCTGTAAATTCCTTAAAAGTCATGTGCTTTTGGATGCCAGCCCCGGCCAATCCTGCCAACTTGACAGCCAATTCGACACCCTGTCAGGCTAATTCGATACCCTGTCAGGCCAATTTGACACCCCGAACAGGTCAATTCGATACCCTGTCAGGCTAATTCAATACCCTGTTAGGCCAATTCGGCACCCGGACAGGCCAATTCGACACCCGGACAGGCCAATTCAGGCGCAGCACAGCCCAATTCCGAGGCTCCACAGCGCAATTCGAATACCTCCGGCGGGTCCGCCAGAACAATTCCAGACCTCGGCAGACCAATTCTTTCGTCAGGAATAAAATCCAGGCTAATTCTGCGACAGAGCTCTTCCCTAATTCCAGCCCGAATCCTACCCTCCTCAGCCGCTTGGGGCCTAAACAGGAGCGTGTGGGCTGGTCTTCTTTAACGAAGCAGATAACGCCATCACACCCAAGGACTTATATATGTGGATTAGTTGAAACGTTTCATGAGCGCGACAAGGAAGAAAGCGCTGGGTGACTGCATCTCCGCATCTATTCCCATTGGTAATGGTACAGGGTGTACGATATGCTCACATAAGGAATCACTTACAGCGTTGCCACTCGTGCTTAACCTTCCTTATCATACACAACAAGACAATAATTACAGAATAAAAGGAATGTGATGCTACCATACCTTGGTCAATCAAAGCATTTCGCTTGCAAGACACATGGGAATTGCTCCTGAGAGCCCTACCTGCCTTACCTCTCACGCGAGATGTAATTGACATTAGTCCACGTCGGACGTTAATGACTTAGTGTCATGTTGTTATGCTGACAACCTTAAAAGCTTGTGCGAAGCTTCTGGCCTGGGTGCGGCCTCGTGATGGCCTCTCCGCCTCAGCAGCGAAAGGCCAGCTCCAGTGGTTCTGCATCTCGCATTGCCCAGAGACTTTCGTAAGGATGGTATTTCTAAATGGCGTACTCTGTGGATTAGCTGCGGCTACGCAACGGTCGTGTCGGGCTGGAGATTGCTCACACCGAACGCTTCGTGCAATCTCCTGCGGACTTTAAAGGTAAGCAAGCTTGAGTTGAGTTAAACATTAAAATGTCAAGTTTGTATAAGTGCGCGTGTGTGTTCCGTGGCCACTGCAACCGACGCGATGCATGCGGGCACGAGTGTATGCATTTCACTGCTGATTTCACTATTTCTTGCGGTGCGTTGAAACCTATGAAAGCCCAACACCCGGGGAGGCAATGTCATGAGGACAGACTTCAACAATCAGACAATCGTTGAAACCCACAATTCGTATCTCCTCGTTGTCGTACGTTGGGTGTATCAGCAAAACATGCTTCCCGGCCTTTACAACGGAAAGGACATGTCAGTGCGCTCCGTGTGGCACGTGCGTCCATGGTCCCCGGGACCTTCTGAACCATAGTCACTGCCTCAGCCTCTTAAGGAAATCTTGACTATAAGCCTACGGGAAGTCATGCGTTAGATAGACACACTCGCGTGTGAAAGCCCTGCGGGTCACAGGCCGGATTCGATACGGTTACGAGCGCACTGGCTGGGTACCGGTTTTTTTTGTGCAAATGTAAGTGTAAGTGTAAGTGCATGTTACATCCGGTGCTTGTAAAAGCTATAGGTGGTCCCGCCTTAACGAGCCGAGAGGTTCCAAGGTTTTGGCGTGGGCAACGCTGCTACACTGCTGGGGACGAGATCATTTATCGTTCACGATGCGCATGGGCAGGATTGTGGTATGAGAAAAAAGAACGTTGCTAGCCTTGTCGCTGATAGCGTGATGGTGAAACTAAACCGCAGAGCAACTTGTTGGTTCGGTGCTTTCGCTAGCTTTAACACGATAGCCACGGAAAACCGTTCCATCCCAACCGCATGAACCTTGCGCCTCATGAACAAAGGATAACCGTAGCTTCTATTACAGTGGCGACTGAACCCCGAGAACTGTTTCCTTGTTTCATCTACGCACATCAAGTTGTATACCGACCTGCATAGCGGTTTACGCGTTTGTCGATTTGGGTGTTTTTCGGCAGCCTGTGAAGAGTGAGTTACGTAGAGCATAGAGCATAGAAATACGTACTGGAGAACGGTTGACTAGCTGTGGAGGTTTGGATCCCATGGAGGCGGGCGGAAGGTTGACGGCGCGGGTGATGCAAATTGGGTTGGATTTAGTCCCTGTGATCCTGCGCGCGCGTAGCAATATTTGCTTCCGGAGATTATGTCCTCATGGCGTACGACTGGGGCTCGCACTCGCCCATATGCTGCCTTCGAAATAGCATCGTTGTACAAGGTGTCGTGTGATAGGCGGTGAAATGACTTCAAGCGCTGATACTATCTGGTTTACCTTGTCCTTTTCGGCTCTATCGTCCGCATCTTACACGTTGAACTTAATGTGCAATTTGGAATGTTGCGCTGGCATGACTCCAAAGGTGGCTAACTCGTTATGACGGAAGCTGGAAGAAGTATCTTTTTTTCCTGCTGAGCTGCATCAGCTATGGTCCAAAGGCAACTTTCAGCTGGTTTTCTCCAAGCGCTTCGTCCATCGGGCCCGATACGGCCAATTTGTATACGACACTAAGGAGCATCGTGTTATAGAAAGGCAAATAAATTTTGTATTTAAACGTCATGCGCTCATAATTTACTTCATTGCGATCCGGCGGCCCAAGTTTGTTTTCACCTATTCCCCTAACTTCAAAAAGTTTATACCGCCAATATGTCCGGCGAGTGGAGCACTAGTTTCTGCGGCTGCTGTGCTGAGCCTGGTGGTGCTGCCACCTGCTGTAAGTTTGTAAATTTGAGCCGCCAGAGCGTGGACCAGGTGTTCGAAGTAGTAATTGCGCCAGCTATGTTTCCGTGACGTGCTGACCTAATCGCCTTGCTCATTTTTTCAATTTAAACACTCTTGGCATGCAGTCTACACCTGGTGTTGCCCCTACTGCGCTTTTGGCAGCGAGGTGGCGAAGCTGGGCCCTGAGGTATGCCAGTTAACTGTCGCGCGACTCTGCCTCTTTACGCTGTTAAGGTTAGATAAGTGATCTTCTAAAGCAGTTACCTCGTCTCCTCAAAAGAGGGCTGCTATTTCGTCAATAATACTATTCGTATAGTTTACGGAATGAGGCGCGTCAGCCGAGATTGTTTGGGATATCTATGCAGTGCATCAGAATTCATCGAGCCTTGGTTTGAACTACTTGTTGGCGCTCTTTTCATGGAGGCCGCGTGGGTGGGCTAGAAAGAAGTCACCTTGCCACCCATTTACGTTAAACGATAAGCTTGCTATCGTATCTACCTTGTTTGTTGAAGTCGTCATTACGTTCAAAAATTACTTCAGCAAGTGGGCCCTGGTCTACGGAAAATGTTCCCGCACTAACCGCCGCTTTTCCGACTTGTGCAGGTGTGCTGCGGCGGGAACTGCTATGGAGCATGCCTGGCTTACTACTGCTTGTTCTCGCTCGGGTAAGAATGCTTTATCATTATTGCAAGCAACGATGTCGATGTAATACTAAGCGTGCGCCCCACCACCCCGTTCCCGTATACAGCCTTTGCTGCTTCATGCATATGTCTGTGCGTGGACACATTCGCCAGAAGTACGGTATCAACGGCAACGGATGCAATGACTGCCTGCTCACGATGTGCTGCCCCCTATGGTAAGTCTCGAGGCGACCGTTCCTTCCAAAACATGCTTATTGCTTTTGTACAGGTCGTTAACCTTACCTTTCTTGCCTCTTTCTTTGCTCGTGCAGCGCTATTTGCCAAGAGACCCGTGAGATTGCTAAGCATTCATCCTAAATTGGCATAGTCAAGATATTTGCAAGGGGATGTCCGACAGACTTCGCCCGGCTTTTGGACCAATGCAACGCGACCAACATCAATTACCGCAAGTCATGATAAATAATGGTCGCGAATCGGAGTACTGCAATCGGAGTACTGCAATGCCTGCTCGAATGATGCCCGTGCAGCTGAAGTTCTCTTGACGATTTCTAGTCATGACCTGGTTCTCGGCCTAAATGCCAACTCGTTGTACATGTGAATCGTATTGTTGAACCACCTATGTATCTGTTATCCCGTACCGCTGTGTCTGTTGGCTTCATCCTGGGCGCGCTGCTGCACTGTCTGCTTCAATGCGACTCCTGTAACCGTCCTCACCTTGGACATCACGACAAATGTGAGCAATCATTTCACGATCTTGGCATGTCAATCTTCCACGCGGCCTTGTTGTAAAGCATGCAAAGCGCACAATGCCTGCCAGGGATGCGTGTGTATAAAGCCCTCGATGTTCCTCTTCGGAGTCTAGAGGGTTGAACGGTGATGCATGGTGGGGCATCACAGCTCAATGAATCACATAGGACTGGTGGTGTTGAGTCACCGTGCAGTTTGTTAAATTTGCTTTCATTACTCACTTTTGATTTGAAGTCCTTCAGCCTGACGTATGGTCGTATGTGTGTCTTGACCCGTGTAAAACAGCCACATGGCAGACCCTTGCGTCTCGTTCCCCGTGAAGCAAATCTATATTGATACAGGCACATTGTACAATCGGATAAGGTATTTGATGTGGTTATCTATAAGAGTAGAAATCCCTGCCATATCAGCACACTGCATCCGGAAGTCATGCTGTTCTTCATGCCAGAGATATGAACCATAAGAGACCGCTGGTTAGAACCAGGAGTGAACATATAAGGGGCCTGCAATATGCTCTGCCTTGCTGCGACCCTCCTGGCGTGCCAGATGGCACAACCAACAGCTCACCACGACACGGTTCAGCCAATACCAACCCAATGAAATAGGCGCAATCCAGTCGCTCTGACTGGATTCCGCCTACGCACGATTCCAGCACGATGAAGCTTACCCGTCTGGTGCGTGACACGTGCACGCAGCCTGGATAGCCTCCGCCGCGGAAAGGAGGGGGAATGGAGTGCAGCGGGCGGTCCGCCGGAGAACATACAACGGGGCATAACACTTATAAATGCGTCCATAACTTCTCAGCTGCGGGTTTCTCCAAATACACACGCACCTATTGAGGCAGGGCTCTAAGCCAAGCCAAGCCGAAAACATGAAAGCACTGCTGCTATGGCTGCTTCAGCACTCTTAACGGCGGCAGGGGAACTTCCGTATCCTTGATAACAGCTATCAACAGAACCTCAAATGCAGCCGCTGCCGCGCCCAGCTCTCATCGCTCGTGCACCGATATGCAACGCAGCCTGTCGAAATTTGACCAGCCCCAGCAATTGCCACTACGCCCTGTCTCCCATACGCACCATCGCCGCCGTCTCGGGCATGGGGCGTACGGTAGGAAAATATCAGCTGCAACATGTACGGTATCATATTGTGCAATAGGAAATGAATAGGCAAAGCATTGCGCCTCGATCTCTATCCCCCAGCAGTAGCAGCAGCAGGCGCGGCACCAACAGTAGCCCGGGAATGCGACGCTAGCATCTCCCCTGTCAAGAGCACCAGACCAGAGGCCGCAACAGTCGCGTGGATATCCCTTTCTCCTCAGCGAGTTCCTTCATTGAACGTTTTCCTATTCCCCTGTTTAACATTACCTTACCTCAGGTTTGCTTCTAGGAAGCAAACGCCTTCTAGCACCCGTAAAGGAGTGGTGATGCAAACTTGTAAGTAATAACATAGCACAGCGTAGCTACCTGCGTGGCGAATATGTGTGGTTTGGTGAGCATGGCATTGTTCGTGTTCAAATGTGGGTGCACGAGAGAAACGAAGACGAGCAGACACTCATACAATCTTCGCGATTAGGCAGCTGGACTGCAAGCCACGGGACCGTGGCAATAGATCCACATGTTAAAGTGTGAGTATGTGGAAAGCCTCCGTGCTGTGGCCCCGCGCTGCAAGTTGCGGGCCCAGTTTCCTACGGACCTTAGCAGGTGACTGGCCTGCGACAGTGTTGAGTCGCTCTTTGAATGGATCCAATGACTATCGTTCCCTCTGTTGAATGCCATTTCAACTGACCTTTGCTATTTGGCAAACGTGTGTAATCCTTGGATTTCCTTTGATTGTGCTGTGTATGTCGACGAAATGTCATATGAGACCTTCACCCGGGTTAGGCCGGCGTTAGGGGATATAGACTTGACGATGCAAGTGGTCGGGGGGGGGCCCCAAAGAGTGATGTCGCAAGGAAGGAATCCGTGACCGGTAACAGGTGCTAGGTAATTATAACGCAATAGTTTCATGGTATGGAACAAGGCAAACATGGTGTCGTTGATGTGGCCACTGGCTGTCCTATAGCGCTTGTCAAAAAGTATAAAAGCAACTGTCGTGCAGCATTCGAGGATCGTTCGTCGAGATACAACCTTCAATCCTGCCAAGGAGTAAGGGAGTATCTTTGTAAATTGTTATGAATACCGTTAATTACTACTGATTTTAGAGACACACATATATCTTGTGCACGAACCGACACGCGACAGGAGGGTTCAACAAGCATAATACGCTTCCACATGATTGCACGCTTAAGTGACACCTATTACAAATAGTTTAGACATGTCATCATATAGCTGATGAGATTACTAGAATAGGCGGCGACAGGTGGTTAGGACGGATAGGGGATGGGGACACAGGGGCGCTTGGGCTGCGCCAGCGGCCTAAGGCTAACGGTGAGTTGCTCGAAACGTAACACAAATCCAATTCGGGTGGTTTATGCTGGGTTTGGGAAGCTTGCGTGGCATATCGTCTACCTCGGTATTTCGTCAGTGGTCCCGATTCGGTATCCCAGGTCCCTTAGTGATACTCCTGAGTGGCATACTCAACGACCACGGTACAATTGCAGGTAACGCCTTTGCATTTGCCAGCGACGTGCCTGCGTGGCAGCAACTTCTTGAAGCTGCGCTGCTTGCGACGACGGCTTGTCTGCCCTTCTGCAGCAATTGGTTTTTCAGAGGTATGTGCAACCCTGGGACTGTCTGGAGACGATGTGGCGCCGCCTGTGCATCGGTTAATTTCAGATGTCAGCCGCACGGTGATATTTCTCTCACTCTGGCATTCATTTACTTGGGCGCGATATCCCAGTCCTGCTGCTGCGATCTGTGCGGCTGTCGTTTAGCAGTCATGCCAACGGGTGTAACGGAAAATTGAGGGTCGCCTCGTCCAGGAGCATTTACCATGTCTTCCGTGTTGGAAGGGCCTTTAGGTTGCCTCCTTTGGTCCGTCTATGCATAGCAGGTCCTCGCTGGCTCCTGGTTAGATGCTGAGTCTGTGACTGGGCCCGTCCCCTCGGTGGTCCAAGACACGGAACAGCTACGGAGCGGCTCCCCAACGCTGGTCACAGCTGATAGCAACTTAGCACATATCTCAGCCAGCCATCCCAAGCAGCTTCCTCCTCGTGACTCCCTGGACGAACAGCACCGGACGCGACAGCGTCACCAGCACCACAGCCACCATGACGTGGCGCAGCAGCAGCAGCAACAACAACAGCTGGCGCAACGTGTGGTGCCCACGACGCCGATGGCCTCCGCCACAAAGCTCCCGGCTCGAGGCGGGTAGGTGGGAAGCGTTGAGACGGGAGACACAGCTCCCCCGGACGGGTTGGGGATAGGCCCCACGGCTGGCCCCACGGCTGCTACGGCTCCGGGGGGGGAAATGGAGAGAAGGGCGCCAGGGTTGTGCGAAGGGACTGTCAAGAAGTCTCAAAACTTGAGCAGCACTGCAGATCCAGTTCAGGAAGGAATGGGGGTTGGGGCACAGGAGGTCGGCCATCACACGCTTTATGGGGGGGAGTTGGAACTGTAGCGTTGGGAAGTGCACACCATCCGCTGTCAGCCCCTGCCTCCGGAACTCCAAGAAGATTCCGCGGATTTGGTGTACCTGGGAGGTTTGTACGAGGTGAATGCGATCTGGGTCAGGCTGGACGCGCGGTCCAGCTTGACCCAAATCGCTTGACGGCGCGTCTGAAGGGTCGGTCCGCCGCTGGCGACCTTCCTATTTTCCTATCGACATAATCGCGAACTAGGGGCGGGCGGGCGGGCGGGCAGGCGCCCTGATGAAGACTAAAACGAGGATAAAGGGCATTATTTTTCCATTTGGGTCGGCTTTCATTTAGGTAAACGGGACGAGAAACGGACACCAGGAAAGACGGGAAAGGAGCAATTTTATCCTTGTGCATGGAGATCTGCACCTACAGGTAACATATCCGAAAGAACTGGATGCTGCCACCTGTTCCTGCCGCCGCCGCGCCCTCCCGCTTGGGGTTGTTGCTGGTGCAGGGTGGGTGCCGGCGGTGTCGCACTGGGTATTATCCTTACGGTGGCGTTACAGCTCGTGGGGCGCTGGCTACAGCGGCAGCGATGGGCGCAACAGCTGATGGAGCTCCTGGACCTGCGGCGCAGCAGCGGCAGCAGCGCTAGCACAAGCGGAATGTACGACGACGGTGCTGACGGCTTTGCCGCAGCTGGCCGGCGGCCGGGTGGCCGCCGCGGTGGCAGCACCACCAGCCAGGCTGCTGCCGGCGGCGACGCGGGGGCCGTGGGCAGTAGCGTCAGCGGGAGCGTTGACGGCGCCGCCGGGAGATTTGCCTTCCTGGGCAGCGGCGGCGGCGATACGGGAAGCTTGCAGGGAAGTCCGTTGGGGACGCTGGACGGCGGCGGGGTGGGGTTAGGAGTCGGGCAGGGGGTGGCGTCGCTGGGCAGCAGCGGTGCCGCCGCCGCGGCGGCTGCGGCGCTGCCGTCGGTGGCGAGTTCAGACCCCGGGGAGAGCGTGGAGTGGGTCAATATGTGCTGGCGGAAGGTCTGGCGGGTGTACCAGCGGGGTCTGGAGCGCTGGATCATCGACCTGCTGCAGCCGGTGTTTGACGGACTGGTGGGTGGATGGCGGCTGCTGGGTTGATGGGGGGCCGCAGGCGGAGGTGGAGGCGGGGGCTGGGAAGATAAAAGCTTGTACGTGCAGCTGAGCGGTCAAGGGCTTCATGGAGGGACAGCAAAAACACGCAAAAAAGCTGCAAATGGAATCATGCTTGAGTGCTTTTAAGTTTGGGGAGACCACCAATGCCCCGGCGGGACATTGGTGGGTGAAAGGAAATCCCGAGAGAAGCGAGTGGAGCGGGTGGCGGGGCGGTTGACATGGAGCAGGCGAGCAGCAGGTTACTGGGCCACAACGGTTAGGCGGGGGGGGGGCGTCATGGGCGTATTTAAATTAAAGTTAAAACAGGTTGTTTAACTAATCTGAGGGTGGGGGGTTGGAGAGGAGCTCCACGGTTTTTTGCCCCACGGTTCTACCCTAGGCTTGGGGTAGGGTACTAGGCCGTCATAATGGCCTCCTGCCTACGATTTGGTCCAAATTTCCAACACCCGCATCCTCTTGATACGGTTCTGTCTGCTACTCCTGCTGGCTTGCCCTGTTCCCCTCCTTGCCATGGTGTAAATATTCCTGGTGTAAGTATTCTTCGGGGTTCCCCCATCTTTAACCACGATATCCTCAAGAGTGGTTCCGCCCCTACATACATACACACACGACAGGTGTGCTCAGATGCATCTTGTGATTGCCCCACAATGCGATGTGATGTTTCCTCCTGCCCCCCTGTCCCCTCCATTTGGAAGTTAACGAGCTTTGGACGCAGGCAGTTCATTCTGATTTCCGTGCACAAGATTTCCCCTCTGTTTGAAGGATGACAGCAGTTGTGTTTTCTTCACGCCTCTGGCACATGGCCCCCCTCCCCAATCCCCCGGCAAATCGACTATGCTTCGCCGTACCCCCCCTCCCCCTTCCCCTCCCCCTTCCCCTGTCAATCGACTATGCTTCGCCGTACCCCCCCTCCCCCTTCTTCCTTTCCTACACCTACTTCTTTACGGATTGGCAATACTATTCCGCTTTTTTAGTTCTGGCGGCTTAGGTAGGTAGTTTTTCCGACATCATCTTCACTTCGTCATCCCGAGGTCACGGTCGCCACGGACGCCTTTCGGTCAGTTCTACGTTTGTTACTCTCTTGCCCTGGCAGCAGCTTCAATCGTGTGTGGTTCGTCTTTCCTCCCCCTTCCACGCCCCCTTCCACTCCCGGCAGGTGAAGGACGGCTCGGTGCCGCGCTGGCTGTGCAGACTTAGAGTGGTGGAACTGACCTTGGATCACGAGGCGCCGTACTTTTCAAATATGCGGCGGAGAAATAGCCGGAAAGTGGGTACGCGGCTGGGTTGTGGTTGGGCGGATGGTCGGCGGCGATTAGGAGGAATTCGCGGGGTGGTGGGTGAGGTCACCGTCATGGGCCCGATCTGCTCAGCCATCTTGGCCCCCCCACCGGTCCCCCCCCTTTTTCAGAGCCCCAACGTCATCCGGAGACACAGACACAGACATGCACATAGTAGTTTTCTTCTTCTCCCCAGATAATGAGCTGTAAGGGGTAAGCTGTAGTGTTCCCGTCCCTACTCGCATCGCAGCACCCCCCTCCTGCCCGCCCACGCAACACGGACACACACACACACACACACACACACACACACACACACACACACACACACGCGCGCGCGCGCGCGCCAGTATGCCTCTATGCGCAAATTCCGTTTTCCACCCTTACCTCCATTATTTTTTAGTCAACCCTTCGCTGCTTGCACGTGATTCAAACCCCGTTCGGACTCAGGACTCGGACCTCAACGGTGTCGTGGACCTGCGCTACACGGGAGGTGCCCGAATGCTGCTCATGCTGGAGCTGGGAGAGGGCCGTTGGCGGTTTAAAGTCCCCGTACTGGTTTCGGATCTGGATCTGGAGTGCCAGATGTGGCTCAAGCTGCGTCTCGCGCCCATGTGCCCCTGGATCGGCACCATCAGCCTGGCGTTTGTGGGTCCACCCAACGTCAAGGTCCAATTGTCGCCGTACAACCGTGTACGGCTTATGCGTGTACCTGTCGTACAAAACTACCTTCGGAAGTTGCTGACGGTGGATTTGCCGGCGTTGATGGTGTTGCCACAGCGTCTGGAGATCAACATCCCGCCCTCCGTGACGACCATTGCGGAGGCGGCGGTGGGTCGGGACACCATCATGCGGGCCGTGGCGAGCGCGGTCCTGCAGGTGAGAGGTGTGCGGCATGAGTTTATTGAGCTTTTTTTGAGTGGTGTGGTGTGGTGTGGTGTGGGAGTGTGTGGTGTGGTGTGGTGTGGTGGAGGAAAGGCATCCACGGGTAACGTGCCTTGCGGACAAACCAGTCAAACCAGTTGACAACCCCCTAACCAACCCTAACTAACCCTCCTAACTAAATCCCCCCCACACACACCCCACCACCCCGCCGGCTTCCTCGTGTCGCAGGCTGATGCGGTGGAAGCTGCTCTGCTGGCCGCCCTGCCGCTGGGGCCGCAGACACCGGCTGGCGGCGTGACGCTGCCGGAGGCCTTCAAGGTGGGCTGGGCTGGGGGTGAGGGGTTAGGGGTTAGGGGCAGGGTAGGGGTGTTTTGGAGCGATGGGGGGAGCGAAAACAGTGGTGGTAGGTAGGTAGGTAGGTAGGTAGGTAGGTAGGTAGGTAGGTAGGTAGGTAGGTAGGTAGGTAGGTAGGTAGGTACAGGTAGCTGGGGGTGGGGCGCGGTAGGTTCTGGCCGCCAATGCTGCATGGGAGACCCCTGAGGGCGGGCGGCAGTAGGTTGTGCTTGTAGTGAACGGGACAGGAATTGTAAAAGCTGTGCGGGCGCATCATTTCCCCGCCATTTCCATCGTGATACGCACATGATACACACACGCACAGAAACACACACGCACACGCGCGCACACCCACATTTACGTATGCACACCATGCGTATGTCTTCCCCTCCCCCCACCTCCCCCCTTTCCTTCCTCCCACTCAGGGCGAGCTGGGTGTGACCCTCCGCGAGGCTCGCAATCTACCCGTGTGGGGCTTCCCGGGTCAGAGCAACCCCTACGTGCGGCTTGTGCTGGGGGAGCAGGTGGGGGAGGGAGGGGGACTGAGGGCGGGAGGCGGGGAGGGGGTGCGGAGTTGGGAATGGGAATGAGGATGGGATGAAGGTAGGGAACTGGGGCAGGAGCTGTGGGTTGGACATGCTGGTGGGGTTGGGGTGAGTGAGTTGCGCGTGTCCCTGATTGACCGCGCGGCATTTCCATCGCACATCCGTAATAGTACCATGCGCACATCACGCACACCGCGTGCACATGCCTCTCTCCGCCGCCCCCACCTCCTTGCCCATCTTTTGCGGACGTATATATGAACACTTATATATGTATGTTGTTACAGGGTGGTGGTTAAGCTTCACGAGCGGCCCCCTTTCCCGAGGCAGTTCCCTGCGCTCCCCTGCTAGAGGGGCACCCTAATCCGTTCACCCATCCGACTTCAGAATGTATTCGTTGGGTTCAGCAACTCACCACCAGCATCCAACCAAATCTAGCGGATCAACGGCGCATCAACTTAGTTCCTGGTTAGCTCGCAAGTTGATTTTATCACGTCCTACATCGTCCATACGATAGGGGGCCACCTCTCATTTTATCACTCCTCAAACACCCGAGGAGCCTGCAGGCGGATTTGAATCCGGGTCGGCCGGGAGCAGAAGTCAGGCCTTATCCTCTGCCAGCCGCCTGCCATGTATGTACATATACCTTAATATTCATAGATATGAGATGCGTATGTAGAAGGCCCGAGCCTTCGTCCCTCCCCCTTTCCAGGCTGCGCGCATGTCTCCCTTTCCCTTTCCTGCCCTTCACCACTACCACCACCACCATTACCACCACCACCCAACAGCAACAGTGACGACAATACTATCAGCCCGATAACCGCCGCCCAACCGCATGTGCTGGCCCCAGGCTGTGCAGAGTCGTCGCGAGGGCGACACCAGCCACCCGGGCCGCCACCGGGCCCCGGTGTGGAACCAGGAGTTCCAGTTCCTGGTGGAGAACCCCGAGGTGCAGGTGGGAGGGGGAGGGGGGGTTGCAGGTAGGAGGGGGAGGTGCAGCACCAGCACCAGCAAGCACCTCAGCCTGCATAAAAGAGTAGCTGTTGTTGCCAGCAGGTTCCCCGTGTTGTTGTTCCCCCCGGCCCAGCTCCTCCCTGACCACCACCACCACCACTACCGCCGCTGTGACCTGTTGGTTGCCGCGGGACCTGCCAGTAACTGAACAGTTCTATGCCGTACATTGCTGTCATCACCTAACCAACCTGCGGCCGCCCGGGCCCCTACAGGTTCTTGAATTGCTCGTCAAGGACAGCCATCTGACGGGTCGTACGGAGGTGGGACGAGCGACTATTAAGCTGGCCGACGTGCTGGTGGCGCAGCATTCGGCGGTGAGAGGTTGTTGCGGTTGGGGTAGGCGTCATGGTGCGTCGATATCGGATCGATGGATGGACTGACGGACAGACAGAACTACAAAGTGGACAGTAGCGAAGTAGAAGATTCATATGTACAAACTGACGGGCGGACGGACGAACTCATGGCCCGTGCAGGAGGGCGGCAAATTGACCATGTGGGTGCCGCTGCAACCCCCAGCCGGATCGTACGGCATTACCGGCGGCGAACCCGTACCCACTGGCGATGTGCTTCTGGAGTTGTCGTACAAGGTACGTGCGTGCTGCATGCAGAGGAACGGGATCTCGGCAGTAGCAGCAACACCACCACCGACATTTGCACAACCACTCGTATGTACGTGATGTACGGTGCAGTGTTTTTCCTTTTCCCTTTTTCCCCTCTATTCCCCATTTCCGGCCCCCGGCCCTGGCGCCGTGCATGGCCCTCATCTTCCCCTACTTCCTCACGTCCTCCGCATTCCTGATGCCGCGGAAGTCCATTGCCGCCGAGTCCCAGTCTGAGGCTTCCCCTTTCCGTCTCTACGCGGCGGTTGGATTTGATTTCAGCAGCTCCTGTTGCGTGTGGGAAGTGTGTACCCGCATCCCATCCCACCATACCGCACCGGGTTTCTCTCATCCAACCTTGATGAGCTGGTGGGAACCAAACCTATTCGCGACCCGGTGCTTTTTGCGCGCTGTACTATTTTTAATGTGCTCTTCCCTTCAGCGGCCGGGACTGCATTTCCTGCTTCCCTGTGCGGACCCGACACGCCGTGTTTCCTGACGTCCTTTTCAAACAGGCCTTTGACGATGACGAGCAAGACTCAGGGTATCGGGAAGCGGAGAACTACTCCAAGCAGGCTGCGGCACAGGCGCCCATTACCGACATTCGCAGCGCTGCAGCCGCCAGCAGCCGCGCAGCCGTCGCCGCCTCCGCTGCCGTCTCCGCGATTGCAATGACGCGCGCGGCGGCGGCGCGCGCAGCCGCGCGCGCGGCGCGAGCCGCCCAGGAGGCCGCTGCCGCCGCGGCGGGCGCAGCCAAGGGCGCTGTAGACCAGGGTGCATCTATAATCGCCCAACAGCAGCAGCAGGTATTGCCGCCGCTGCCGCCGCTGGCGGTGTCGCCACCGAAGCAGCTACCGGCGAATGCGACATACATGGCGGCACCGCCGCCACCGTGGGAGGCGCAACCCGCCGCCGTACCAGGTCCCAGCACAGCGCTTGCCGCCGCGGGCACCTCCGACAACGAGGTGGAACGCGCCGTGGCCGTTTCGGGACAGCTGCCAGCAACGGCGCCGCCTTCGCCGGCGGCCCCTGTGGGCAGCGTCGGTGGTACTGGAACGGCGTGTGCAGGCCGCGACGGTGACGCAGGTGAGGGTGGCGATAGCACCGATCTGGCGCAGCATGTTCTTGCTGCCGCCGCCCCACCTGCTGCTGCTGCTGCTGGCGCGGTGATGGCGACCGCGCCGGGTGCTGTGGCTGTTCCGGGGATGAGGGTGCGGGTTGCAGTAGAGGAGAAAACGAACGACGATGGCAGCGTCGCAAAGCTTGCGGCGTTGCCTGAAGGGACCGAAACCAAGGTGATGGTAACAGCAACGGCGACGGCGCCTGCTGTACAGCAAACGAGAAGAACGGCGACAGCCGTACTGGAGCGTCCGCAAGCTTTAGGACCCGGCGACGGTGGCAGCAGCAATGGCCGTATGTACGGTGGTGACATCGGCGGCACTGCCGTGGCTGCGGACAGCCGTTGGCGCCGACGGGAGCCCGACGGCGGCAGCGGGGCCGACGTCGACGCCGCCTCATCTTCGCGAACACATCACGGCGACGGTGGTGGCGACGCAGGCGGCGAGGACAACGCAAGTAACGGTAATGGCAACGGTGCCGGCAGTGACGGCGCATCTGCAGGGTTGCCGGCGGTAGTTGCTGTAGAGGTTCTGGAGGCGGGCCCCCATCAACTGGGTGGCGGCGGCGCCGCTGCCGCGCCGGGGCGGACCCTGCTCCTCCCACCGCGACCGCTAAAGCACTCCGTGGACAAGCCCGCTGTTCACGTCACTGCGGAAGTCGTCGTCACGCAGGCGGCTTCCGGGCCTCCAAGCCACGGCGTCGAGGTGGGAAGGGATCAGGGTCAGGCCGCCGCCGGAGGCACCGGTGATGGCGGCGCCGTTGGCGTCACTGGCCCAGTGCTGAGTGCGTTGGTGAGCCTTACGGCGTCCGCACACTCCCTGACGGCCGCAGCTATCGAAAAGGCGCGGGAGTCCTTGAGCCAGAAGACGCCGCCGCCGCCGTTATCTTCAGGTCCTCAGCAGCCTCCTGACGGAGCTGCGGCGGCGGCTGAGAAAGATCGGACCGGCAGTAGCAGCAGCAGTGGCGGCAGCGGCGATGGAAACTGGCTGGCGGCCATTGTATCCCGGCTGCCGCGGTACGGCGGTGGCAGCGGCGGCGGGAGTAACATGGATGAACGGGAGGGAGTCGTACCCGTCGACACAGCTGCCGCCGGCCGGTCACCAGCCGGCGACGGAGGCAGCGGCGGCGGCGGCGGCGACGAGCACCCTTGGTGGCAGTTCTGGGTGCCCAAAGGCGGTACCGTCAAGCTGCAAGACGCGGGCGCTGCCGACGGCGATGGAACCGGCGCTGCGGCCTCAGCAGCGGAGGCACTCCCCGCGTCCAAGGGCGGTGCGGCGGCGGCGCCGGCCGAGCCGTCAGACGGCAGTGGTGCGAAGCCCTGGTGGCAATTTTGGTCGGATGGAGACAAGGAGCGCGACAAGGGGGAAGATGGCGACGGCAGTGAGGGCTTGCGGCAGGGCGCGGAGGGCGAGGATCATCGCGGCAGCAAGCCCGTGGAGGCGATTTACATTCCCGCTGACCTGCCCCTGGAGGAAATCGCAGCGGAGGTGCAGAGACTCAAGGTGCGCCGCCAGGGCACGAAAGGTCCTCGGCGCTGGATTCGCGGGAGATTGGCGAATCAGGGTTGAAGCCCGCGTCCTCTGTTTCCTTTTCCCTCTTCTATCCCTTTTTCCTGCAACCCCCGAATCTAAGCTTCCCATCCTGTTCCGTTTCGTCTCTTCGTCCTCTTCTCATTTGTTAGGTGGTGCAGGGAGGGAGGGAGGGAGGGAGGGAGGGATGGCGGCACAGGGGCGCCCCTTAGCTGCGCTTGACTACTTGGGTCTCCTTTTGTGGTCTCCATCTTTTACATGATTGTGCTCTCTCACAGTTGCTCTCACTTTTGTGTGCCCTGTGTGTATTTCCGTAATTTCCTGCCTGCGTCTCGTTACACATTCCATACCCCCTGCGTTGCCCTTGGTATTTCAGTTTCAAGTATTCCTGCTACAACCGCAATACCTTTTCCTCCTTCTCTCTCCCGGGTAATGTCCCCTCTGTCTGGCAGGAGGACAGTTGGCGCGAGCGGAGTGACCACGTCAGCAGCTTGTGGAGGAAGGCGGTGGAGAGGAACGACCGCAAGTAAGAGAGAGCTGGAGGGGGGAGGGTGGGAGGGTGGCAGCGCTTGAGCATGGGCCTTGAGGGGGGGGGCTAGGGAATGAAGGGTCGCACGCATGCCGCTGCTCTGCTGTTGTTGCTGTGTTTGTGCTAGTGTTGCGTTTCCAATGGTGCCTGTGATGCTGACGCAACTGAAACTGGGTCGTCTCATCGTCATGATGGTGCGTCCGCTGCTGCTGCTGCTGCTGCTGCTGCCACTACTGCTATTGCTGCTTCCTCAGGTGGTTGATGTTGGCCGCGTTTTTGTTGTCGGTGGCGGTCGGGCTGCTGACGGTGGTTGCGTGGAGACTGGAGCAGCTGGAGCACATGCAGGTGGGGGGCGGTCCATGTGTAGTGACCCGCGGGTCCACACACGCGGAGGGTCATGTGCAGTGATGACCCCTATGACTGCGACTCGTATTAGTCGACTAGTGTCCTTGTTTCTCGTGTGTTTAGTGATTGGGTACTAGGAGTTTTTGCGTTATATTATATGTCCTTTACCTACCTAACTTATGGCTCTTAGGCTCTTGAGCCTCTGGCTCGTAAGGGCTCGTGACACCTCTCTGGGTAACGCACCCGAGGTGTAACACACACACACACACATGTTTCTGGGTCAAATCCTAAGCTGCCTGAAATGACAGTGGCGGCTTAGCTATCATTCCATCTGGCATTGCTTTCTTGAAGTGACACCTGCAAGGTTGTCCTGTTGATCATTGACCCACAGCGACACCACGTCGTTGTTTGCTCTCTGCCCGACGCCCTCGTGCAGGCGGCCGTGCCGCAAATCGCCCTCATGACGATGCAGGCGGCCCTGCAGGCCTTGGAGCAACACGCCAGTAGCGGCGGCGGCGGCCTTTTGTGATGGGCGGCCCATGTACAGCAATGTACAGCAGTGGCTCTGGCAATTAAGGTACTGAAGCAGCATTACTTGCAGCCGTAGCGGCGGCACGAGGATGGGGCCAATTGTGTTGCTTGGGGCGCACCGCGACCGCCCGTTGAGTCGTGCGTTGTGGCAGCTGTTTGTGGATTAGGAAGGAGGGAGGCGATAGGAAGAGAGCCAGGCTCTTACATACGTACAAACATTCACACATACACGATATGTCTGAACTGCAGCCCGATAAGATAAGGTATAAGGTTACCACCCTACAGGAATACTTCTACTTCTTCTGCCAGCTGTTTTAGCAAAACAGAAGGCTCCAGGCTCCAGAATGGTAGTCGGCGATCGAATGTTTTGTTACACAGAGTCTCGCTTAGCTGCCCAATGCTCAATGCCAGGGCTCATGCGTTGTTGCTCAGCTCACGGCAACAACGCATCGGCAGCGCCACGTTTGTTTTAGGGTCCAAGTTTTCAGTTTACATGGTACGACGGATGTATGAACTAAACTCCGGGACGATTTTGTCGCCGCGAGTCATGTCATGCGTGCAACATGATCGCCGACTACCCTACCCAAAGCGCGCCGATCCGCATCGGGCAGTACCCCCGGACAGAAGAGCTATCAGAGAGGAAACATAGACAACGTGATGTTCTTAATGGTTTACCAAGGTTAATTTTCGGACTTGCGTGATGCGTTGTCAATGCGATTCTTGCGATGTCGATGTTGATGATGGTAGTGAGGTTAGGATGATAATGCTGGGGACGACGAAAAGTGTAGGGGGTGCTTATAAGGCGGGGACGGTATGCAATTTGACGACTTGTTTGCGCTAGGTCAGCTGATTACCTCCGTGACGAGGTCGTGGCAGGGTCGCTACCGGTCTGTCTGTTTATCTGTGTGATGAGCTTGTGCCTATCCTGGCGTATACCGGTCGTGGCGATGGAGGGCAGATACGGATGGGCGCACGCATGCCAAGACATAAATCTATAATGGTCATAGTCATAATCATGAAGATGGCGCTTTTTTTATCGTTTTTAAGTTGGTAGCTAGCCAGGGCTTGGGGCTATAAAGTGGGACCCCAGGATGGCTTCTGGTGTACGGCGTATGGCGTATGGCGTATCCGTACTACATGTCGTATCAGTCATCCACAGGCCGGCGCGTGTTCCGCTGCGAATGGGTTAGTTTGCGGCGGATGGTGACGGCGGTGGTGGTAGAGGGTAGCTCTCGATATGCGGATGTGCGCGCGGAAGGGGGGCCCAGATCTGTGTTGTTGAATCGTTATCATCGTCGCGAATGCTGATGTGTACAAGTGCTGCTGCTTGCGGTCGGTCTCTTATGCTGTTGCCGGGCTGTATGTCGATGTACGTGGTGCAGCGAGATGGCACGGAAATAGGACGTACGTCAAATTTGTGGATCGTCGTTTTGGATTCAATAGCGGTTACGGAGATTTTTCCGTATCAGATCCCATCGGGGCCGTTACATCAGCTGCATTGTAGAGTGCGAATCAGGATGAAGGATGTATGAGAAGACCTGATCAGTCGGAAAGGAAAAAGCAGAAAACAAATGCTTTCCTTCGTTTCCAGGAGTGGTGTATACACAACGCCAGTCGCTGCAATCTAGCGACGCTGCTTTGCAGCTGGGGTCGTTTGTAGCACGATGTCCAGTTTTGAGGAGAGGGGTTGAAAAGTTATTGTCGATGTCTCAGAAGATGTCTTGTACAAGAGCGCTATCGAAATTTAGTTGGTGAAGGTTTTTGCGCCAGCCATCCCACCAGCGACCCATACCCACAGTTTCAGACTCAGTTAGCCACACGGGCACTGTTCAGATAGTAGGCCTTTAATTGTGTCGGTGCTGTGAGAAAGTCTTAGTTTGAGGTGTTGGTTGTTTTGATGGATGGGAGCATGAAATTGGAGAAGGATTGGAACGCTTGGTCTGTCTGGGGCAGCAGCCCTAACGTGCGCAGTTGGCAGGCCAGAAAAGCTTCGTGCACATGTTCGCGCCGGGATCGTTTCTTTACAATTCTTATATGTTTTCTTTCATGGTAGGTGTGTGTACAATCGTAACGCAGCTGCAGAGACAGCGCTGTCATGCGTTGTTTTGGCTTTCGCATATGCCCCGGCGCGGTTGTACCTGGCAGCGCTGCTTTGGGGGCTGTACGCTGGTTGGTGTCAGGTATATGATTTTTGCGACTGCTGCCAGTGATTTTGTTGCACAAGGAGTGAGGAGGGGCATGCAGGAGTACGGGGCACGGACAGGTATGGTCGGTGGGGCGAAGATAGGAACAGTTGTAACGGACAGGCTACCAGTGTGTATCTATGATGGGGAGATCAACATACACTTCTCATATTCAGGCCAAGGAAAGAGGCACAGAGGCTGGTATAAACCGCTTTTCGCAAGGATAGATATGCTCTTCCTCCTTGAAGACGAGAAAATCTAGGACGCTGGAAAGTGAAACGAGCAAACTCTGAAGCATGGCTGGTTAAAGGTCAGTAATCATCTAGATGATCATTGTCCTCCCGTACAAGCAATCAATACATTAGTTGCAAGAGTGGCCAAGTGGTCCAGAGAGACACGGCTGCTTGACGTCCATCGGGAACATCGCAGAGCAGCCACAAAACAAACGCATACAGACAGACGTACAAACACACATACACACATCCGTGACCCAAAAGCCATACGACAGGCGATATGCCAAAGGTGCATGGGCTGACAGCTGCTGCCGCTACTGCTACTGCTCTCCGACCAACGCGCCGTACACAATACAACGCAAACTTCACCAAAAAGTCCCAAACGGCGTTCTGCACTCCTTAAGCTTCCAAGGCATAACCAAAACATGTACAATACGAACCTCCACAAGCGAAACAAAGGGTAATCCAAATTCCAAAACTTAGATAAGGCCCATCGCGCCCGGAAGACTGGAACATCAGCCCCCTTGTTGTTCATTCTGCATGGCCTGCTGCTGGTGCTGCTGCTGGTGCTACTTCTTGTTGACAAAAAAGGAAAATGTGCAACCCATGTCCTGAAGCTTCCAACGAGGGGAGCACATCGCCGGCGCAAAATTTACTGGATCAACACTTATCAACAACTGCGACCCCAACACGTCAATAACCGCAATCAACTAAATCATGTTCATACGACATCAGCATACCAGAGACACTCACTCTATCACACACACAGGCCAAGAAACGCATCACCGGAAAAGGCACGACCCCGTGCCGCACGATGAGGGTAAAAAATCCTCTAGTACTCGTAATGAGCCCTACGTACGCGCGGAGAGGCGCGAGTGCGAGCAGCCACATACCCCCATCACGGTCTGTCGGAAGATTGCTGGATGCCGGATGATCGGCAGAGGAACACACATACATCAAACACATAAAGGACGCGCACAGCGCTACACAACTGAATTGCGGCACACATATACGTACACATACACGCACACACACATACACCTACAGAGACAAAGACCAGACAACATACATACATACATACATACTCCATTCAGAACACCACCAGCCGAGATCACGGAGGAAAGGAAAAGGCTGTAAAGGTCCATTCACCCAGGACACTTTGCCTCGGCTGTAACGGTTGTGGCGATGGTGGTATAGCGGTGACGGATGTGGTGGCGGTGGTGGTGGTGGTGGTGGCACTGACCGCACCAGCCCCGTGAACCCCCCTGTAAGGCAGCCCCCCTAAAGAGACAGACACCTCTGGGTGATGGGCCAGCACACGCGCACACGCAGACCTCCGGTCAGGCCGGATATCATGTGACGTTAAGGGTACGGGGCGCGCCAAACGCCGCTACAGTCACTGAGCGAAAATCAACACAAAAGCAGGGCAGGACATCACCGAATAGCGCAACAGCTGCCACCTCCTCCTCCTCCTCGCTCCTCTACCAAAAGCGATCTGCAGCCGCGACAGGCAGCCACAGCACCCCGGCCTCTACCGCCGAAGCGTCCAAAATAGCAAACCCAAAGGGGCCCGGAAAGCCCCCAAACAGACAGACCGGCAAGGGTACAAAACAACCATCATAAGTGAGTTAGGGGGAGGGGGCAGCCGTGTGGGTTCGTGACTCAGCGGCCCCGTTCCCCTGAAAACCCCCACTCCACACCTCCCGCGCCCCCTTACCGGCGATACCACCCCTCCCTTACGTCCCGGAACCCCCCAATGCGCCCCAACTCACTCACCCACCCACCCACAGGGGGGTTCGACACAGGCCATCCGCCCGCGAAACATCCTGTCGCGCTTCCATCGCCATCACCATCACCGCGTTAAGACCTTGGCCCCACTCTCATTGCGCATGTGACCATCTGTCAAATCCACCCCACCCCAGCCCACTTCACCTCACTCCATTTTTTTCATTTATGCTACGCTACACAACCTCCTCCTCTTCCTCCTCCTCCTCGCTCACTACCGCCTCTGCTGGCAACGGCACAGATGTCAGCAGAGTCCCTCCAGATCCGAGACGTTCAAAGGCGTGGCCGCCGCCGCCACCCGGCGCCGGCGCCGCTGCCGTGGTGGCGGCGGCGGCAGTCGAGCCCACGGTCGCCAACCACTCCGGCGGCAGACCGCGAACCACCCGCCTGGAAAGCTGGAAGCACTCACGTTTGGAGTTGAACAGCTGTTCCAGCGCCTGAGCCTCCGCCAGCTGAACTTTGGTGGCGTCGAGCTCGCGGGCTGCCGCCTCCGACGCGGCGGCGGCGGCGGCGGCCGCCGCCTCCGCCGCCTCCCGCGCAGCCTGGGTATCCGCCAAGGCCTGACGCACCGCCTCCGCCTCCCGCATCAGCACGTCGTTCTCCTCCTGGGCTGCCTGCTGTGCCCTCCGCATGGCCTCGAGCTCCTCCTGCAGCGGATCAAAGTGACCCGTGGGTCTCTCATGGCGGTAGCGGCGAACCCCCAAGGCTCGCATAGCACCAGAAGTCTAACAGCTTCATTACCCCAGCGACAGCGCATGATAAACTCTCCGACAGCTTCCCGTACTCTCTCCGAGCGGCCCGACTACTGCAAAGTCTTCCTGGGCACAACCTCCCGGGCAACACAACCAAACAAGGGACATGGACGCCCCTTACCCTAGGTAGCCCCTAGCCCCTAGCCCCTAGCCACTCCCCCACCCACCCCCGAAGAAAAGAACACAGCCCCCTTCACATCCTTGGCAGCCCCCAACCCCTCCTCTACACCTCCACGTCCTACTCAGGACTCCTCACCTGCAGGATGCGTAGACGAGACTGTACGTCATACACGTCATCAGATTCCCCCTCCTCAAATCCCTCCATCGCCCCCGGCACCGCCGCCGCCGCGTAGTTGTCGCCGCCGCCGTCCTCGACCCCGTCATAGCCGCCAGCAATGCCGCCAACTACTGCACCGACCCGTTCTTCCTCCTCCTCTCCTTCACCATCGACCACCGAAACCGCTGTGACCTCCGCAGCTGTCGCCGCCGCCGCCGCCGCCGCCTCCGCCGCCGCCAGAAGCCACCCCGCCGCCTCCCCGTCTGTAATGCCATCTGAGCTCCCAGCACCCACATCGCCATCCTGGTATCGCTTGTGGAGACAGGCCGCCAGCGCCTGGCTTGTGCGCAGTGCGGCGTCTCGCACCGCCGCCAGCTCCATGGATAAGTTGTTTCTGAAGAGCCGGAAGCGCCAATCAAGGGCCGAAAGGTGGTGCGTGGTGGGGGTGGTGGTGGTGGTGGTGAAAGACGAACCACGAACGGTGAGGGTGGGGAGGGTTCATGTGCGCGAACGGGGGAAGAGAAAAAGGGGGGGCCGCGCTCACCCCGCTTTCCCCAGGTAAGCGGTTGAAAGTAGTGCCACGCGAAACACACGTCAAAACAAATACACACGTCTGTTCAACACCTCGTCGTCATCTGTTCCGTCAACTGTTCATCACGTCCATGGTGACTATTCGGACCTAGCGTCGGTATGAAGCTTGTTGTATACGTGTACCACCATAACCGGCATTTCCCTCATCGCAGCTCCGAAACCATAAAAAAACGACACACGATTCCTTCTTCCCCTGCCTCAAGGTGCACGAGGGGGACACGCCACAAAAACACGACTTTTGACCTGCCTTCATCCGCCACAGGCAACGCATCCACAAAGACACAGACAGATAGACAGACGAAACCTCGCTCTGCGTGGTTTCCACGCAGATCGAAGGAGAGCAACAGACGGGCAGACAGACACACATATACATACATACACACACGCCCCGCAGCTCGCTCACCTCTCCTCCTCAGCTGCCCCCACCGCTCTCCGCGCTTCACCAAGCTCCTCCTGCAAAAATACACACACATACATAACATAAACATACGTATATACATACATACATGCACACGTGTAAGAAATACTTTGCCTTTTCCCTCCCTGGACACGAACCCTGCCCCCCATCCTCCCCCCCCCCGTCCCTCCCCACCTCCAGCTCCGCAATCCTGCTCTTCAGCCCGTGCAGCTCCCCCAAAAGGACCGAGTGCGCCTTCTCAGCGGCCGCCGCGGCCGCCTGCGCCTTGCCACTCGCCTGCGGGTGCGGGCGTGGGTAGGTGGTGGTGGTGGGAGTTCTTGTGTGTGTATGTATGTATGTATGTAGTGTGTTTTACACCACCTGGAGCTGCGTTTTACTATCCGAAGGTGTAACGGGCCGATACTAGGGTACTGAGGGTGCCCAAGGGCAGAGGGGCCTGGGGCTGTCCGAAATGGATGGATAACATTATTATGTTATATCCCACAGCGGGGCTACCTCAACTCCTCTCTTTTTCCCCCCTCCTTCCCCCTGTCCTGCTCACCTGCACCTGTCCCGAAGCCAGTGCATGGCGTGCCGCTTCCGCCTCCGCCTCCAGCTCCAAATTCTAATTGATTGGGGGGGTGGGGGTGTTGGGTACTAGGGTGGGTACTAGGGTGGGTACTAGGGTGGGAAGGGCCGGAAAGAGAGCGGGTTGGGGGATGAGTGACGCTGTGCACGAGTCCACCGCACCAACTCCCACAGCCTACCGGGGTTGTGTAAGGAGGGCTGGTCCTTGCTTGAATAACATTGTGTATATATACATACATACAACCCCAGACGTACACAACAATACACCATCGACCCACCCGGTTTCGAAGCATCTCCAATTCCTCGTACAGCTCCGAAACCTGCATTCCCAGCCGCTTGGACTCCGCCACCGCGGCCTCCACCGTCGCCGCCAACTGCTCCCGAAGCGCCACCAGCTCAAACTGCGTCGCGGCCGCGTCGGCAGCCGCGGCGGCGGCGGCAGCGCTCGCGCTGGCGTCAGCGGCCGCCTCCACCTCCGCCGCCGCCGCCGCCGCGGCTTCTTCCGCGTCCTTCTGCGCCGCGGTTGCCGCCTGCGCCTCCGACTTGGCTGAAACCAGCTTCTGCTGCAGAGCCGTAATCTGATCCGCCAAAGCGTCCCGCTCCTATTTCCACGGTGGTACGGGTGGTACGGGAAAGGACCCCCGGGTTGTGGAAATGTGGGGGTGAGGGGGCCGTGTGCGGTGTTGAGCGTCATCGTTGTGGAGGACGGGACGGGACGGGACGGGACGCGGGGAAATAAGGGTGCTTCAAAACGAACACACATCTTGCTTATCCAGCTCCCGGTATCGGTACTCCTCCATAGCCAGGTGCCTGATCGGGACATACATACATACGTACATACATACATATATACATACTCCCCTCTGCCTACCCCCCACATAACAAAACACACAAACACCTGCACGGCCGCCAGCAGTCGGCGATGTTCCTCCAGCGGCACCGACTGCGTGTTGCTGTGCAGTACGGCAGGCGAGGCGGCCTCAATCGCACACACGGCCTCGCGCGCCCGGGACTCTGCCTCCACACAGAGGAGCCTCTGGTACTCGTCCTGGGGCACCGCCACACAGTCCTGGGGGTTGGGAGTGGTGTTGGGGTTGCAGTTGGGGTGGTGGCCAGGGGGGTGACGGGTTGTGGTGATCGTGATGATGGTGGTGGTGTCGGTGCTGGTAGTGCTGGTGGTAGTGGGATGATAGACGGGGCGATGTTAAAGGGAGGGGAAATACACGGTAACAAAAAATAAAGACACGTCGGAAATTAACTCTGAGAGGCCAGGCACGTCGCGCTGAGGCGCTTCGCCCTGAAGCGATCGAGAGAGGATGATGATGACCTCCCGCGTACCCGCATCAATACCAATACAACGTCCCCCCGGCTTTTACGGACACACCCGCACTGTTGTGCGGAACTTGTAACTACCAGAGACACGCACACACGCACACACACACACGCACGCACACACACACACACACACGCGCACACACACACACGCACACACACACACACACGCACGCACACACACGCACACACACACGCACACACGCACACGCACACACGCACACGCACACGCACACACGCACACGCACACACGCACACACACACACACGCACACGCACACATACACGCACACGCACACACACGCACACGCACACGCACACACACACGCACACACACACACACGCACACACACACACACACACATACGCACACACACACACACACCGCACCCTCCCTGCAGTGCTACCTGCAGCGCCTCCGCCATCTCCGCCTCCGCCGCCTCCCTCATCTTGACCGCCTCCTCCACCTCCCCTCTCAGCTGCTCCATCTCAGTCTCCATGAAAGCCTGGGGGGCGGGGCAGCAGGTGTGGGGTGCTGGTGGTGCAGGAGATGTGTGTGCGTGTGTATGTATATGTGTTGTGTGTGTGTGTGGGGGGAAGATGTGCGTGGGGGGAAGACGTGTGTGTGTGTGGGGGGGGGGAGAGAAGGGAGGGGACGCACTACTAGGACCCAGCCAGTCCCACATCCGAAACACCACCAGATGCCAATCAATAAAGACATGCCCCCCTTGATCGACAATGTTTCAGAATTGCAGAAACCAGTTCTTGCAACCCATCGATCGCCAAATGGCCCACTTCTTGCTCACTCTGCATACTCACGTATACTTGATTATTGTTGGTCGTTAATCACGAAGCAGCATCATGATGATGTCTTCAACGGAAAAACACATCTTCCTCAAATGAAAGTATACACGAAATATACACCGCGCACGACATACGTCACCTGTCTGTTCTCCGCACACATCGTCCGAAGTACGACTTTCAAGCAGACAACAGCAACAGCAATAGCAGCAACGGCAAAATGAAGCGAGAGAGAGAGAGAGGGTAAAAGAACAAATCTCCAACTTCCCGTGCATTTCCGGCGCTCTTAAGTGCGCGGTAGTGGTGGTGAAGCCACCTTAGCTACCTTCGTTGGACCCACCATCTGGTTGCGCAACGAGCTCAGCTCCGCATACTCAGCCCGCGGCACCGCCACACACTCCTCGCGGTAGCGCCGCAGCTCTCGTTCCAAAACCGCCTTCTCCGCCAACAGCTCCGCCGCACTCACACTATCACGCAGCGTAGGCGCATGGAAGGTCGAGAGACCGCCACCGCCACCGCCGCTGGGGTGGCTGGTGCTGCTGCTGCTGCGGCGACGCAGGGTGGCAAATACCGGCGACGGCGATCGAGACCGCGGCGTCAACGACGGCGTCGCAGCAGCAGCAGCCGCCGGCGCGGAGGTCTGTGGCGTAAGCGCCGGACAGGGCACCAATTCGACCGTCCCACGGGTCTCTCGCCGAGCGCGTGTGGCGTCCGCTGCCAGCACCCTGAGCTGCGCCACCAGGTTGTCCCGCTCCGCCTGGTGGGGTGTCGAGGAGCACCGTGTCGGGTCGGGTCGCCAAGTTCAGTGCATTGTAGTGTAACCCAGGAAGAGGATATAGGAGGGTAGGTATAGGTGTGAGAACAACAAAGGGGTTGAATAGAAGCAAGTCAAGGATTTGGGTCCATATGGTCCACATTTTCATGATGATTATTCGTCGACTTCATGAAGTCGTTGAAGTTGAATAAGAAGTACGAAAAGTCAGAGGATGGTGTGGACCGGAACTCAGGTAACCTGATTGCCCGACGACACCCTCACGCGCCCACTCGAGGACAGCATACACAGCTGCTTTTCCAGCAGCTCAGGCGTACGACGTACGACCACTGGGTTGGCCTCATGGCCCTGCCCCTTACTCCAGGACTATGTGGAGGAGTTCAAGTTCAAGAGAAGTTCAATAATATGAAGGTGGCAAAAACAAGGCAATATCGAGGGTCTTTCGCCACCCCCACCCCCAACCCCACCTGGAGCTCCTCCACCATCATCTCCAGACTTGAAACCCGCTCCGAAGGCAGGAGTCCATCCTCGTCCTCGCGCTCCCCCTCGTGCCCCGTGTGACCAAGTGACCCGCGGGTCAGGATGCCGTCCGCGGCCCCACTCTCCAATCCTCCGCCATCTTGCAGACCTCCACTCGTGGTGTCGGCCGACATGCTGATTAACGCATGGATCTGTACAGCATGTACGACAAATACAACGTATGCGCAAATCGCCATACCGTGCCATATGGGCTCGGTCAATGTGGGCGGGGGGTAATAAGTGTTGGTGCGGTGCGGTGCGGCACCGCACCTCAACCTATACGACAAAACCCACATCCCCCCTTCCACCCACCACACACATCTTCCTCCTTCCCTCGTGCAGCCCAAGGACTGAGGGCCCCGCTCACCTGGCGCTGAAGGGCCTCCCGCTCCAGAGCCCAACGCATGGAGGCCGAGTCCTGCTGCCGCCGGCTCTCCTGCACAGCGGCGCCCCCGGGGGGAAGAAGCGTCAAGAGAGATAGACAGAGGTGGGAGTTGCCAGAGGTGGGAGTTGCCAGAGGTGGGAGTTGCCAGAGGTGGGAGTTGCCAGAGGTGGGAGTTGCCAGAGGTGGGAGTTGCATGTCTGCGCCATGCAAAGGCCGCCCGATTACAGGGGCAAACGGTCAGCTGCCCGGTCCCCCGCCGCCGTGCAAGCGCGTTCTGGCAACAGAACGCACGCCGATTAGTGGCGCCAGCTAGCTCACCTCCAGCTGCCGCCGCAAGTCCGTCAGCGTAAGCAGGAGCTCCGGCTTAGTCCCGCTCGTGTCCATGCTAGCGGTTGACGACGACCCCGCGGCAGAGCCTAGGGCAGGAAGAGCAGCAATGGCTACATGATCATGTTAAGGTAATGACAACAACTAATTGAGTTTTGGCGTCCAGGGGACGCAACCGGAACAGGGGTGCTACTCTTCTGCTGAACTAGTATCCGATACCTTCCATTCGTGACAATCTTGCGCATATCGGGGCAGCATTGCATAACACAGATTAGCCAAGAATAAAAGCGCCTACGACTAACCACGCTTAGGAGTATTTTTTTACCTTTACATATTAGCTAGGGTCGACACACATCGCGGCAGGTGGGCTGGGACTTCAACTCCCTGTTTTGTGCGATGAACAGAAAATAATAGATATGCAGGCCCATTTTCTGTGGTGCGCCCTACCTGTCTGGTTTGGGCTGGCGCTCCTCGTCGACTGGCACGATGAACAAAAAGAGCTGCAAGGCTCCCTAGCGCTAAGACCGCCCTGGCTTGCATCCTCACATACGGCTTCGCTACCAGCTTCGCTGCCGAGGAACATGCCCGAGCTCATCCGCTGGTGTGTGAGCCTTGAGCCTGTTCGTCCCAAGTCGTCTGTTTGCTGGAATTGCAAAGAAGACGCCGGCTGTATAGGCTTTGTTGCTTCTTGAAGCCGTCGCTTCTCTTCAAGCCATTGTTGTCTCTCCTGGTAGAACTGTTTGGTGAGCATGGCGATTTGCTCGCGGAGTTCAAGCACTTCGCACTCTGCATCAGGGCTTCCTTGCGATTGTGCATCGTAGTCCTCAGGTAAAATATCCATATTTGACCAGCGTTTTAGCGGCTGATTGAGTGCAACGGCCGCTTTCTAACTTGTTACGTGGTCCCTGCCGAGGATTCTGGCCTCCACAAACTCAGGTTTCTTTTCGAAAGGACGTGATAAGCATGATCATATCATCCCTGCTCTGCTTATGTCGGGCCCTCAGCTGCACGCCTTCCCGCTCGCGCACGGAGGTGGTGTCGTTAACCGTGTGCGTTGAAGCGCCTACAGGCCCCTAGCAACAGCAAAGCCTGGGAACAGGCTCTGACGATAAAAGTATTTACATTGACAGCGGTCGTAAAAGCCGAGGAATCAGGGAAGCAGACGGTAGTTGGCTGAACCTAGGGGAGTGCCTCGAGTTTAGAGGAAAACCTGGGTCAAAGAATCTATCAGTACCGCGATGCACCGCAGCATAGTAGCATAGCCCATCGCTACCTCGCCCGTATGTTTACTGTACGACATAATGTCTACGTGAAATGGAACAAAACGTGGCTGAGTAAATATGCATACACGTGGAGACATGATGAGCACGACTGATCTTCTCATCCCGCCATCAAATACGACCTGAGCGGGCAGTGCACGCCGTGCTGCGCTGCGCTGCGCGGCATGACTGAACCCTGCAATCATGGTTGCGATCGGTGCACCGATTACATTCCAGTAACTCCAAAAGAATCAATTAAATTAGGTTACGATGATGGCAACTCGTGGCACGTATCATGCGCACTGCCGCCTTACATCATCGTCTGCACCGCGGCAGCAGCTCTCCGCGGCCTTGCCGGCCGCCCCATCCTGCATCCCGGACACAACCTCCTGCCTTTACGCTATCTACCCTGGTCAAAAATGCTACAGCCTGCGGCTTCAACCCGTAACCAACCTGCCGCATCGTCCATGTCTTGGCATGGACGGCCAATCTGCACCGGGCCCGACACGTCCGCAACAACACGAAGCGCTCCACCCCAGCCCTTATCAACGGAGCCCTCCACTCCCCGTGCAATGTCACCCTGGCCTTGGGGATATGTTCCTCTAAATCCCCTTCAGCGCCCAGGCCACCTCCCTCCCCCCTCCCCTATAACAGGGCCGCTGCTCACGATACAGCGACTGTCAGGAACTCACCGTACAGCGGGGATTTCAAACTCGCGTCACGCGTCACGCGTCTGTCCAGTCTTTTGCTACAGTCTATGCAACAAAAGCCGCGGTAGCAGCGATAACACCTGTTTCTTCAGCAGCAGCAGCAGCAGCAGCAGCAGCAGCAGCAGCACTTGTAGCAGTACCAAGGGTGATATGGGCGCTGGCGCTTCTATCTCTTCCACCAACGACGCGCCTGCAGTGCCCCGTCGCGCCAACATCGTCACCGCCACCGCCACCGCCACCGGCAGCGGCGGCGGCAGCGGTAGCAAGCTGCTCCGTAGCGTCCGAGCCGCTGCAAGCTTGCAGGTCGGCTAGGCAGGGAGGAGGAGGAGGGATAAGACCCTAAAACCCTAAATATGCAAACGGAGGTTGTTCTCGATCCGCATTCGCTCCTTTCCGTTCCCTGGCTTTCCCCCCCTTCCCGCCCCACCCCCCCCTACGTTTTCCGTCTTCACTTATGCACGCCCTCCCTTCCCTGGACGGCTTCCATCACCACTTCCTGGATGCTGCTGGTGTTGGCGGGAGCTCTTCTTTACAGGACATGGATGTCACACTGCGCCGCCATAAGGCCCGATTGGCCTCCGACCCGCTGCTGCTCACCGCCGCCCTCACCCGCCTGACCCAGATGGCAGCTGCCGGGAAAACTGCCGGGCCCCCTCCCGCCGCCGCTGCTGCTGCCAGTGCTGCTACTGCCGGGGGATTGGGGCACCCCGCCGCCTCTGGGCCCCGGCTGCTGGCAGTAGCTCCCCCTTCAGCGGCATCCTCATCATCAGCAGCAGCAGCAGCAGCAACAGCAGTAGCAGCGGCGGTAGCGGCACGGCCGCTGTTGTTGATGCTGTTGGAGAATGTGCCGACGGCGGCCGCGAAGATGGCGCCCGCTGAGCTGGGCTCCTGTGCCTGGGCCATTGGTGGGTGGGCAGCACCAGGGCCTTATGATGGCGTGGTTGGCTGGTTGGTGAATTGGAACTGAATTGTTGTACGGTGTTGATAACTCTTGCTGCTGCGGCTGCTGCTTCTGGGGTGGCGGTGCTGGCGGCTGCTGCGGCGGCGCCCGGGTTGGGTTTAGGGTTGTAAAGTGTTGGGGATTGGAGTGGTGGGAGGGCTGTTGTTTTTGTTGTTAATTTTTGTTGTTGCGTATATCCTTATCTCCTCCATCTGTTTCGCAGGCAAGCTGCGGCCTCTGTGGGAGGAGGCACATCCAGACATCCGTACTACCGTCGTACTTGCGGCGGTACACGCCATCACCGAACGCCTGGCGGCTGATTGGCAACAGCATTATTTCACCTCCAAAAACGTTCCCAACATTAGTAGCAGTAGCAGTAACGGTAGTAGCCGTGATGGCGCTCAGCTGCTCGCCGACTGGGGGACCGCCGTCACGTCCCCTGCTCCTACTGCTACTGCTACTGCTACTGCTACTGCTACTGCTACTGCTACTGCTACTGCGGACCGCAGCGCCGCCGCCGCCACAGCCACAGCCGCCACCGATAGTGCCTCTATTGCTGTTATTAGCAGCAGCGACCGCGGCGGCGGCAGTAGCAGCAACAATAGGAGTAGTAGCAGCAGCAGTAGCAGCAGCATCCAGGCGGGCCTCTGGTCCCGGGTTCGAACCCAGGACGTGGCGGGTTTGGCGTGGGGCTTAGCACGATCTTGGACGGGTTTGGTCACCGAAGGAGCCGTCCACTCCCGCGGCGGCGATGAGTGCTCAATCAACCCCATGTCCGTGAGCCAGCTGACCTCATCACCTAAACATCGCCAGTGCGAAGACATCACAACCATGACCACGGCCACGTTCACTGGCGGCCCTACCGCCGCCGCAGCAGCAGCAGCTGCCGCTGCCTCGCCTCCTTCCGCCGCCGCTGCCGCCGCCGCTGCCGCTGCTGCATGGCAGTGGCTGGCCGCCGCTGCGGGCGATGTGTTGTGGTCGGGTCATGCCAGGGAGGTGGCCCAGTTGGTGTGGGGCTTTGCGGCGGTGGGGAGGTGAGTTGAAACAAAATCCCGATCGGGGATTTCTGGGAGGGAGACGGAGTGAGTGTGTGTGTGTGTGTGTGTGTGTGTGTGTGTGAGTGTGAGTGTGTTAATGTTCTGAGCCGCGATGCGGGGGGTGGAAATGCCGATTATGGTGGTACGCTGCAGAACAACTTCACACCGAGATGAGCTCCGTAGTCACCTGCCATCTGTTGAATAGTTCCGATGAAACTGTAGCTGGACGTAGCTGCTTGAATCTATCAAGTCGATGTTCATCTAAAGCGTGATGTCACGAGCCCGTAGAAATAAGCGGAGAAGGCGGTGTAGTGGCGAAGGGCGACTAGGCGTGTGTGGGCGGTTAGGATTGACTACATTCAGCGAGGGCACCTACACAGTCCCTACCAGACCAAACAGGACCTTAGAGCTCATACGTTTTACCAACATCTCCTAAGCCAAGTGTGAGTGTGGTTGCGTTTGGTGGGGGAAGGGAGACGGAGGCGTGTAGAGAGCTTGGGGGGTGGGGGTGGGGGTTGCGGAACGGACCGCGTGACCGATGCCGTATCAGGCTACATCACTGCATGATGAGATTATTCCCATTATTATTATCATCACGTTCACATACGCCCAGACAGACAGAGACAGACAGACAGACATACCTCCACTGACCCACCACCATCGTAGTTTGTTCCCTCCGAGGATGCTGTTAGTGAAGGCAATTAGTGGTAATGGCAATGATGCTGCACTGCTGCTGCTGTTGTTGCTGCCGCTGTTTGGTGACAGGTTGGAGCCTCAGGTGTTTGGTAACCTGCTGACGGTGGGTGGTTGATGTGACCCATGGGTCAGTGGGCCGTGTGGTGGTGTATATGGGTGGGGAGGCTCAGGGGGTTCATGGGGGGAGGTAGAACCATGAAGCAGAGGGGAGGGGAGGGAAAGGGGGGGAGGGGAGGGGAGGGGATACTTTGTTATTGCAGGTATGGTTTCGGAAAACCGACATTGACTTCATCGCTACCGGCCATGTATGTGTATGTGTGTGCGCGTGTTTATCGCTGTCACAGGCATTGGCGCACCCCCGTCGTGGCCCTGCACTGGTTTCGGGGCTTCGAGAGGAAGAGTGTACGACAGTGCTGTGGGCCGTTGCCACGGGATTGGAATGTCATCGGGATGGCGCCATCCGCTCCGTGAGCCTCCACGCCTCCACATCTTCCCCCCCGGTAGGCACCGGGTTCCCGGGGGCCGGTGGCGGCGGCGGCGGCGGCATCGACACGGCGACTGGAACCTTGGATGCCGTAGGTCCGACACCGACACTCACACCGGCGTTGTGTATTGGTGTTGATGTTGGTGTTGGTGAATGCAAGGACGCATTGCTATCACCACCATTATCATCACTAACACCATTACCACCACCGCCGGCATTCCCTACCCCAGTGCCGTACACTGCAGCGGTGGGGCCTCCTGGAGTGTTGTCCAAGGCATTGGCTCATCTGGGGCCCCGGGCGGCACATCTGGCCATGAACGGTGGGTGGATGGGCGGGCCTCGTTGGTCGGTTAGTTAGTTAGGTGGTTGGGTACATGTTTGCTGTGTGTGTGTGTGTTACAGGACATACATACGTGATGTACCCCATCCCGCGCTCCCTCCGCATGTCGCGTCCAGTAAGTTTTATGCTCGTCCCCAGCCGGCCAACGAAACCCGAACATCCTTCCCCCGCCCCCTCCTCCCCCCTCCCGCCTCCAGGCAGGCTCACAGGTGGTCAGATCAGCTCCATGCTGAGGTCCCTGGTGGTGATAAAAGTGGGTTTTGTTTGCTTGGGGGGAGGGGAGGAGAGGGGGGAGAGGGGGGGAGGAGGGGTTAGGTCAGGAGGGAGGGGGGATGGTGCTGATGCTGCTGGGGTGTGATTTCGACGGCGTGTACGTGTGTGTGTGTGTGTGTATTTCCCCACAAACCTTGAAACGCTCTCCCTCTCGCTGTTCTTCCCCCGCCCCCTGCCTCTGCCACCTCCGCCGTCCCCACTCTGGAGCGACTCGCGTGTGACCTCGACTGCAGGCTCCAGCTAGTCTGTCGGGGGCGGCAGCCCGCTTGGTCTGGTCTTGGTCTGGGGGACGGCCTCCGTATCCGCGTGCACTTGGCACTCTTGTTCGCATGTGGTTCAACCCCCCCCTGAACCCCCCCCTGAACCCCCTCCTCAACCCCCTCCTCACCCCCCCTTCACCCACCTCGTTGACCTGGTTCGTGTTTTTACCCCTAACGCCTTACCCCCTCATCGCCTCATCATTCAGGAGGTATCCGGTGTCGAGCTGGATCCGGCCTGGATCCAGGTGAGTCTTCAGTTGGTTCGTTATGTGGTTGGTATGTTGCTTGATCGGTTGGTTGCATGTATGTATGTATGTGTGTATATCGCGTACCTCGGCTTCGAAGGAGAAAGGGGTTGAGAAGGTAAATGTCCGTTGTCCCGCGTAATAGTAGTCACGTATGTTTGTATTTATTTTCGCTGCGTGTATGTATGTATGTATGTGCGCAGGCCCTGGCCCTCAGAGCAGGACATAAGGCCCCTTATATGGACGGCCAGGCGCTGGGGAACGTAGCCTGGGCACTCGGCAAGGTGTGTGTGGAGAGGGGGGAGGGGGGCCGCCACGCGCGTGTGTCGTACGTGAAAAACACACACATATTCACATATTGTATTTTGGTTTTCTCTTTGATCTGTAAAAACGGCCTTTCCTTGCAAGTGCTTTTCTTTCCTGCGTGCACGTGAGTATGTATGAGTACGTATGCATGTATGAGCGTGCGCTGTTTGTTCGTGCAAGTGTTTGTACGACGGTTGTACGACAGGTCGTTCCCGTCAATCACGATGTCATGCACGATGCGAGGAGAACTGGTGAAAAAGATTTTGTGTGGCATTGTACACACAGCCAAGTTAAATTTATCGTTAAAAGAGAATAACAATTAATTTGGTAAAATGCTAATAAAACCGTAAAAAACCCTAAATAACCCTAAACGCTTAAAATTACTTTCGAAAGGAGGACGACCAACTTTGACGGTGTAGCTCTCTCCTTATCGCGACTACAACTTATTTCTCGGGAACAACCGAAGACAGCGCCAAGGGTCATCACACCAACATCCCCCCAAACAACAATGTCCTGTTTAGGCTCGTTATTGGCACGAGGGCACTCTCCGGGCGCTCTGTACGGCAGCGCTGCTCGCCCTGAGGAGCGCGGAGTCCAGCACTGGCAGCAGCAACAACAACAGGAGTAGCAGCAGTATCAGCGGCAGCAGCAGCACGAGTGGTAGTAGTGCTAGCGGCAGTAGCAGCAGCAGTGGGTACGAAAGCGTCGACGGCGGCGGCGGCAGGGCAGCGGAAATGTCCGCCGCCGCTCACCACCACCACCACCACCACCACCACAATGCCAACTCCGAAACCACCTTTAGCCGTACTGCTACGGCCACGACGACCGCCGCCCCTGCTACTGCTACTGCTACAGCTTGCTCAGCAACTCGCTTCACGACCCCGCGGCTCTCCACACACGATCTGCTACAGCTCATGTGGGCATGTGGCCGGTTGCAGTACGTGGACGAGCAGCTGCTGGAAGTCGCGCAGGTGCGCAATGCTACCGGTCTGTGCTACAAGTCAAGTCATTTTGACATGGCGGCGTGTTGAACATCGTTGATCTGTGTTTGCGGCGGGGGAAGGGGAGAGAGGTGCTGGCATTGCGACGCAACTTTAAGTCAACTGAAAAGTTGACGCCTGTGTGTGTATGTGTATGTGTGTGTGTCTCTTGGTAATTGGCATCCGGTGCACCCCCACTGGGCCCCCCCCCTTCCTCAACTGGTCCCCACCTCCCCTCACTCACAGCTACCGCCGCGTGCTGACTCCCCGGGGTCCCCTCCTCCCCCCCCCAGCAGCTTCACTCGTTTGTGGTTCGTCTTCCCCCCCCCCAACACACACGCACACACAAATACCCCAATCCTAACCCCCTCTATTTCCCGCTCCACCCCCGCACCCTCAATCCCCCGCCCTTCCCCCCCTCGGGATTCCCCCCTTCCCTCCAACCAATACACACACACCACACGTCGCTCACCCCACGCGGCTTCATCTCCAGTCCCGCCTGCTGCCCGAGATAGCCTCCCTGGAGCCCACCTCCCTCTCCACCCTCGCCTTCTCCCTCGCCTCCCTTACCCACCACCACCGTCACTACCGCCCCGCCGCCTTTGCCGCCATCTGCAAACGAGCACACGAGCTGCTGCCACCACCACCACCACCACCACCATCAACACCATCACCATCACCACCACCTACAACAATGACACCAGTGATAGCAACGATTTCGCCATCCACAGCTCCAGCGGAACTGACGTCACCGCCGCCGCCATCACTGACATCGCCACGTACACGCGGCAGCTCTCACGCAGGGCTGGCAGCCACGTCGCCCGTACGACCGCCCTCAATGCGGGGGCGGGAAGAGGGGCCCCGGGCCGGGCCCCCAACGAACCTCCCCGCCCCCGCCGTGTCCAGCGCCGCCGCTGAAGGGGGGCAGCTAGAG